CCCTCTCTCGCTCTCTCTCTCTCTCTCTCTCTCTCTCTCTCTCGCTCTCTCTCTCTCTGTGTGTTGCATTTGGTTTGAATACATCACCCCCAATTTCTCAGATTGACTCTTCGCGCGACAACAAAATGGAGAAGCATGATCTCTCAACCAACACCGTGATTGACAACCCTCAAGCTGTCTGTGAGAAAATAGCCCTAATTCGGGATGCGGGTCCGTCCAAATTCCAGGTCTTTCCCTCTCGGTGTTCATGTTTTGGTACATTGCAATTCATCGCTTTTTGAAATTGCGGCAGTGGTTTGGTCCATAAAACTCCCTTGGGAAATCAGATACATAAGTTTTTTACGTTTTTTTTGTTGTTTTTTCTCTTGGAATTTAGGTGATTGCTGATTTTGATGCGACATTGACGAGGTATTGGGTCAATGGGCGTAGAGGAATGAGTATGTTCATATTCTCTCTGGGTTTCAATTGTAGTTGTTAATCATAAATCTCAATAAACGACACAAAATCTGTAACTCTGTATTGAATGTTTCAGCAAGTCATGGGCTTCTGCAACAAGGGAACTCATATTATGATGCCAAGAGACAGGAATTATACGAATACTATCATCCTTTGGAGATTTCTCCGGCAATTCCTGTGGAAGAGAAGACATCACTCATGGAAGAGTGGTACTGTATAATCTCTTTAGTTCTGTCCTAAATGACATGCATTTGATTTTGCTTTTGATATGTCCACATTAACTGATCTCTGTTTGCTGAAAATGGCTACAAAAATCACTCATGCGTAGTTCATTCTTGTTTTTCTCTCATGTGTCAACAGGTGGGGTAAAACCCATGGCCTTCTCATTGAAGGAGGCCTAACATTTGATGCAATAAAGAAATCTGTTGCTGATTCATCCATTGCTTTCCGAGAAGGCGTGGTTGAGCTTTTTGAATTCTTGGAGGTAAGCTTTCTTGACAGTGTTATCTACTACCGTGGTTATGATAGTATATGGGCAAGGAAAGAAACAGCATTTCTTGATCATATCATTTTTCATCTGCTATAGGAGAAGGATATCCCCGTTCTGATTTTTTCAGCAGATTTCGTCAGCAGGACTTGCCGATGTCATTGAAGAGGTTTGTTTGTGTTTCTTAGTTTGATTGTATATATACACCATATTTCTGGTGCAGCTATATGACTGTTTCGGATACTTTTATTTTGTCAGGTTTTGAGGCAGAAACTTCATAGAACATTTAAAAATGTAAGGATCGTCTCAAACCGAATGGTGTTTGATGACAATGGTTGTCTCGTGTCTTTTAAAGGTATATTTGTGTTCGTTAGTTTATATTTTGTGCTGTGTATATAAAAGGCCAACATCCTGTTATGATTTTGTCTCTGTAACTCCTTGAACTTTACAGGAAAGCTAATTCATGTGCTGAACAAAAATGAGCATGCTTTAGACATGGCTGCTCCGCTTCACGATCAACTAGGCGACACCAAAGGAGCAGATGAAGACACCGCCCGTGTAAAACTAAGAACCAATGTGTTACTTCTCGGCGATCATTTGGGGGACCTGAGCATGTCTGATGGTTTGAAATATGAAAACAGGATCTCTGTTGGATTTCTGTAAGTTGCTCTGTTCTTTCAATCGGTTTATTGCCATTTCTGTCCTGTCTGTTTGCTTAATTACATTTAAATTACAGGTTTTGTTTCCATTTTCTCTCATCATTTCATATGGGTTCTCTCACTTAAATTTCAGGAACGATAATATTGATAAGAGTCTCCAAATCTACCGCAGTGCATTCGATATTGTTTATCTGGTAAGTAAGAAAGTTGCAAATTTTCTTGAATTTGATATGGTTGAATTTGAATGACTAACAGAAACTATTTTTCTCGATCTATTTAGAATGATGCACCCATTTCGGGAGTTGTGGATCTTGTTTCTCAGTTGTTCCCGACAGAAGCGAGTTAGCCGCAATGCCCATTTCTCGCAAGTTTCCATCGTTCAGCTCAATGGAACTTGGAGGAGGTGACAGATTATCTGCAGACGATTCGTCGGGTAAATCCTCAGGAATAGATTTCACTTCACATAAATGGACTTGGAAGGATGAAGTTCATCGGTCCAAGGATTGTTTTTGTTAATTCAACTGCTAGATGACAGGCATTCTTCAATCAATGGGTTATTGTATTAACCTTTTGTCTTCGGTTACATAAAAGAACAGACCATTTTTTTTAATCATTGTAATAAACATTTCTGGATCTTTTTTGCTTAGAATACAAAAGGGATTAGAGCCTTGATATGGCCGGGAAAGTCTTCGAACTTGCTCAGGTACCATCTTCTGGTTGCGGAACTCCGACCCATCAGATAGAAAGTCGTTCCCATGGCGAGACACAGTGCATAAATGTTCTGGGATATGAGAAAGAATCCCCAAAAGACCAGAATCTCGAACAGGTAATGAGGACAGATCACCTTATCAAACAGACCTCCCTCTGGAATCTTGTACTGTTGTTTCCCGCCGCGGTTTCTTAGCTTGGACAGCAAGTAGTGGTGATACAGATTCCCGACAATTCCGACAGCAAAGACCAGAACTCCGGCATACATTAGATCGAATTCTGGTACTGGCAGCTCCAGCGATAGGTTTTGTGTATATAACATCATGGCTGTTGATGTGAAATAGCTGAGAGTTATGGTAATGACCGCGTCAAGAGTCATGCACCCACTGTACTTGTGTATGAACATCACCTGGATTTACACACAAAACTGATGATTTGATTGCGAATTCCGAATCATTAAAAGGGTTTTCGATGCACAAGTTGCAGACGAATTTACCTCGAAGACCCGCTTGAAGAAATGGAGGGAAATAGAAGAAACCTGAGATCATCAGATGGGAAGAGGTAGAAGGAAGCAGAAGCGGCTGCGAAGGCGGGGGAATACAGCCAGAGCATTCCGGTTCTGCTCGAGATCTCGATGGCAGGACGACGAGGATTCGAGCCGGAGAATTTGGAGTACTGCATATGCTTTCCCCGCACTTCGGACAATCCTGCCATGGCCAGACCGGCGAAACCCAGAACAGCCATGGAGTTGACGAACAATGAGGGAGGCGGAGGATACAGAAGATTCATCGCCATTGTCTCCTTCTTCGTCTAATACTTTCTTCTGTGAAAGAGTATTTAAGGGAAGTCACGTTAGAAGAGGAACAAAGGGGGGATTTACAAAAATGACTTTAAATGTCATTTTGACTTCAAGGGTGACCTTGAAATTTTGATAATTCCAATTTTGTCCTTCAATATAATAATTATATTTTATTATTATTTTATTCAGGAGACTTTATTTCGTTTTCGAAAAAACTTAATATTTCTTTTATTCGGTTTAGCGTTTCTTCTAAAAATGGGAGCCAATGTCCATTATAATTATCTTTCGATGAATGTTTTCTAAAATATTCAATTTTTATTTCTTTTATTGTAATTAATTTTTTTAATTCTGTAATTATATTGTTAATTTGTTCTTTTTCTATTGTATTTTGTATGCATCTTAGTTTACTATATGTTTCTAAATGTTGTACTGGTGCGTTTAATAATTCGATATTTTTCTTGTATATTTTTTCCATTTTATTCGTCAGAATTTATAATATCTCGTTTAATCTCTCTTACTGCGTTAAATATTGCACTAATCATTCTTATTTTTCGATTTTCCTTATTAAGTTCATTTCGTTCAATTGTTCCATAAGTTCGTTCTCTGAATATACTTTCTATAGTTTCAACTAATAATTGTTCAAGATGATCTAGGCATGGTAAACTTTCAAGATTTAATAAGGATAGTTTTTCGATAAAGTCTTCGTTGAAATTCATTTTGTAAGATTATTGATTTGTGATATTGTTTTTCGTAATTTAGAGTAATCTTCCGGGTTTTCTTCTGATTGTTCAGTGTTGAATAATAGAGATGGTGATTCTTGTATACTTAATCTTGGGTTAAGTCGTAACAACGATTTTCGTCCTGGTTCTATTGCAGTTAATGGTCTTTTTAGACAGATTACTGGTTTAAATAAATCATCTATTTCTATAATCTCTTTGTTTCTAAAATTTAAACTGTGATGACTATTGGTTAATGCGTAGTTAATCTGATAGGTTATAGAAAAAGGGTGATTTCCTTTTTCCATGAAATCTGTTCTATCTAGTTTGTATTGGATAACTATTGAATTATCCAAGTCTTTATCTTTCAATGATAATCCGAGTTGTATATTAATGTTAAATTTAATTTTTCCAGAAGAAAGATTTCCTTTTCCTTCGGCTATAATACTTTCTTTATAATTGGTTAATCTGTCATCTCTAATTTGAAAGGTAATCGGGGAATCGATACCTTCTTTGAATGTTGATTTTATAATTATTTGAATAGTACTACAGTGTATGTAGGCTATTTGTTTTCTTTGTTTTTCGGGACAATTTCTGAGTCGTTCTAAGATTTGTTCTTTGTTAATAATTGGGAGAATGAGTTCTCCTGTAGTTTGTTCAATTGGTACTGGTGTTTCTCCAACCATTATTCCGAACTTTATTATGTTTGTTCTCGATAATTGTTTCTTTATTTTTCCTAGTATAGTCTGTTCGAAGTTTTCATCTTTTTGGAGATCAAAACTTATTTTTCGTATTTTGTTTATATCTATAATTCCATCAAAGAAATATTCTTCATCTGATTGTATAAAATTATCGAATGCAGAGGTTGATGCCATACCTGATTCGCTTTTGTAGATAATCCCTGTCGGTTGGTGTTGGTGAAGATCGTTTCCTCGTTGGTGATCCGGAGATCTGATCGGTTTTTTGATATTGTTCAGGGGCGGTGTTTAGTTCCAGAGTTCTGGAGTAATTGATTTGGGATTCAAAAGAATCTATTCAAGGCCTCCAGAAGATATAGATCTTCAAGCCAATCTCTTGAGAGAGATCTTTCAGAGAGAGTTCTGAAACAAATCCGTTTATTTCACTCTGAGTTCTCCCACCAGAGAGAGCTCATATTTATACAACTTTGGAACCCTATCGGTTAGGATAAGAATCTCAAACCGGGGCCCGACTTACACACATGGCATTACATAATTATACAATAAAGATTACAGAGATAAGGTTCATGATAACCTTATCTTTTATTGGG